TAATGACGAGAAACTCAAAATACTGTTCCAGTCGAGAGATTTCAGTAGATTGTCGAGTCCACGAAAATTCGTCCCATTCGTCACTCTTCCCCTGCGAGCGATAAACCGTCGTAAAGCAAGAATGAAGTCATTCGTTGAGAGCGATTCAACGATATCCAGGTGTATGGCACGATATGTGGCACATGTAAAAAGAACCAACCAACATTTATTACCAGATTTAAGTAACAAGGGACCCGTTAAATCAACACCCGAGACTTCAAAGGGGACGTTGCCTTCTATGCGTCCTTTAGGAAGACTAGCTGCAGGAGTAACGTACGAGCTGGCTTTAAAACGCTTGCAAATAATGCAATCTCTAATTACTCTTTTAACTAGTTTCCTAATACCGACAATCCAATATCGTTCTCTAAGATTCGATATCAATGTTGACGCACCCGCATGTTGTAGCGTTCTATGCCGTTCCTCCACTAGTCGTTTCACTAGAACCTTGTCTGCGAACAATATAATGGGTGACTTAAAATCAAACGGCTCATTACTTAACTGTAATTTTGTTTCTAGGCGCAGCACGCCATTGTCATCTTCAGACACCTTAAATGAGCTGATACGTTTTTGATAGGAGCATTGTATTAACTTAATCAAACGAATCTCAGCTATTTCTATTTCTTCATACCCTAATTCCGATTGACCTCGATTAGTCTTAAAACAGAATCTGAAAATCCATGCTATCATTCTGACTATTTTAATATATGATGAAAAATATGAACTTTATCTAGTAAGTAAGTCACTATCTACACAAACATTGTTCATTATTATAGAAATCTTTTTCTTTTCTTGAAAGGCTTGATAATCTATATTAAAATTAACTGTCGGCCATGTTTCAGAATCTAACATTAGCCAAATAGGACCTTTCCACCATGCACTTTCCATTAAAGTTTTAGCATCGGTTCCTCTTGACGGTAAGTCGGCTGGATTGACGTTGCCGGGGATGTGAAACCATGCATCAGGCGAAGAGTATTTTCTGATCTCCTTAACTCTGTTTGCAACAAATGTGTTCCACTCTCCTTCGCCTTTTATCCAACTTAGTGTAACACTCGAGTCAGTCCAGTAGTAAATATTATATGTTGGTAATTTTAGTGACTCTATTACAGTTGGAGCTAGTCTTATTGCCAACGTTCCCGCGATAAGCTCAAGACGCGGTATCGTTATTTTTTTAACTGGTGTTACACGTGATTTTGCCATTACAAGATTAATGTCAACTTCGCCTTTGTACTCTGTTTTCAGAAACACACAGGCTGCATAGGCATGTTGACTTGCATCACAGAATATATGAAAAAATTATTAGCGATTTCTATATTAAATATCGTTAATCTTCGAGGTATCTTTATATTAGGTATGAGGTGTATGTATTTGGCCCACCTTTGAAATTCTTTAGCTAAATCTACTGGTAGTTCAGAATCCCAAGAAAGGTTATGAGACCATGACTTCTGTAAAATCATTTTTGGAATAATTGTATAATAATAATGTAATAATTGCGCATACAAACCAAGTGGGTCAAAAATTTTGTGTGTCAACGACAAAAGACTTCTTTTTGTCAGTTTAACGTCTATCGTAGATATAGAAGAGACGTTAGCAAAAAGTTTATCATTAATTGTATCCCACATCATACCCAAGACAGATATTGTAGTCGCTTGCTCATCTATTCTAATAGGCGCCGTAACCCAGCACCTGAGATCGAACATGCCTAGTCTCATTACTTCTTTAGGCTCTTCTATGAACTTAAACATGTCTTCAGATGTATTGAAACTAATCACGCAATTATCAACATAAAAAGACCCTATTAACTTCTCTGCTGTATCCTTCAAATAATCGGGGCAATTATTAAGATGATATAAAATAGTTGCAGCGAAATGAAATGGACTTGATGTCAATCCGAAAACAACTCGTCTATGCAGATAAACTACCGTGCCCTTGCTTTGATCGTTATAATCCGCCCACCAGAGAAATTTAAGGAAGTGTCGATCTTCTGGCGAAACAGAAATTTGTAGAAAAGCTTTCGCTACGTCAGCCGTTACTCCGATAGCATACTTTCTGAACCCTAAAAGTAACCCAGGCAGAAGCTCAATTAAATTTATGCCCTTTTCTAGATCAGAGTTTAGCGACACGCCATTACAATCTTTAGCTGATGCATCAAAAACTGGCCTGATTTTTGTAGTTAAGCTGGTCGCTTTTATGACTGGGTGATGAGGTAAGAAAAAACCCTTAACAATATCTTGACCTGGAGATACTTCAATAAAGTTGAGACTTTGCCATTCCCTAAAAATCGTATTCAGAAGACTTACCTAAAGATTTCAGTCGCGCACTCGTAGATAGAAGTCGATTCCTAGCTGCAACATAGTTACACAATGGACGAGGCATATTCTCTTTCCACGGAAGTCTCACTTCGTACCTATTTTCTTCATTAACACGTAGGTTGTCATTAAACTGCTGTAGAAACTCCGTATCTCTCGCCTTACGTGAAACCTGTTGAACGAGATCATTAATACCTAAAATCTCTAAGCTCCATAGGTCTTTCAAGTCTAATTTTGTTAAGGAATGGAGGGTTGTCAATTTCACTTGTGTACTATAAACTCCAGTCATTTGTCCTTGTATAGTCCACCCCATCTTTGTTCTGATAGCAGTTAATGAATCATTAATTTGCACCAAGTCCCCCGTCAACAATGCACCGCAATAGTCCGCACCAATTAGTAAAGAAATACAGTCAGGTGTGTCAGCAGTCTAGGTCAATGTCAACTTACGTAATATAGAATCAGTTTTAACCTTAGGTAATAGACCACAAATGTTATCTTGTTGTAATACGGACATATTAAGCACAAAATTGCTAAAGTAACTATGTACAGAAATATTATATACATAACATTCATCCTTTTTCGTTTCGTAGCCACCGAACAAACAGTGACTTATAGCCTCCTTACTTACTGGTCGCAGTTGCAGACACTCGACTAAGTCCTTTGTGACATACGACCTCTGTGCATCGGTATCGATTAAAACTGTGACACATGCTTCCCTGCTTCCATTTACTACCTTGACAGCTAAAGTTTGTAGAACGGTGGTAGCCTTAAGCTGACATAACATGTGTCCTGATTTTTGGTCATTTTCGTCATTCTGTTTCTCGCTACCTGTCCCTTTCTCTAAATCTTGACACATCAGTGTGACGTGTCTTTTCTTGCAGACAAGGCACTTCGGAAAACTTCGACATCTTTTTGCCATGTGACCAACTTTTAAACAAATCATGCAGGCTCTTCTACTCTTTAATAAATCCTTACGTTCTGTGAGAGTCATTTTCGCCGCCTTGTAACATTCCAAACTTGAATGAGTATTCTTTTCACACCATATGCATGCATTCTTTCCTATATCCTGTTTGACTTTCCCATCGTCCTTTTCAGACCTTCCTTCCGTTACGAAATATGCAGTAGGAGGGTTGGACCTTGTTTCAAAACCGGAACGAGCCAACTGTATCCTCTCTTCTGACTCGACTTCATCTTTCAGGAATTGCATAAGTTTTGTCAGATCATCTCCTTTTATCTCGCTCCTGTAACGAATTCTGTTCCAGGTCCTTAAAATTTCTTCGGGCAATGCTGACTCGATCATAGGGTATAGTATAGAAGTATATTTGTCATTGGCAACCCCTAAGGTCTCTAACGCTTGAAGATGACTGTGCAAGTTGTCATATAACAAATTGATCGAGTGGTGTTCTCCTTTATTTCGTAACAGTACTTGGTTCAAAATGCCTCGGACATAAGTTTCAATAAGAATATCCTCTCTCGCAAATCGAGCTTTTAAAGCATCCAGGGCTTTTAAATAGTTGTCACCGCTGGGCGGGTAACTCTCGACAAGTTGACGAGCGTTAGTTTCTGGAGCCATTGACTGGAGTAGATACTGAAAGGACAATGCTCGTTCCCCATACATTGAATGCCCTAGAACGCCCAGCAATGAGAAAATGCTAGTTGTGTTCGGAATCTTTCATAAACTCTAAATAAGCATTTGTTGAGATGCGGACAACTTGAGGAACCGTGGCCTACTACAGAATGTATTAGATTTTGAGGTTATAATTATTATACTTAATCATAAAAGATGTACACTTTATATATTCTGAATAGATTAAGTGTTTACCTCTATGTAAGCACTCAAATAATATGCATTAAATAAACATAAAATGCAATTAATAATAAAAATAATAAATGCTTATATTCATATTGATTTATGAGTGTTGTCAGTTGGCACCTATGATACCTATACCTACCTGTAGTAAGTAATGATACATTTCTATTCAAATGAAATGTTCAGTCTTTCCATTTACCTGCTTCTATATTTTGCTATCGGTAATTAGGTATGTACCTGGTTATCATTATGATTTTCATAAAAATAAACAGATATTACATGGGATGGGAGTATAAACTATCTTTAGATAATTTCAGAAATAATCTTTTTATAAATATAATATAAATACTAGTAATAAGTATTATTAACTAAGGTACTATTTTTATGGTGATAAATACCTATGGTCGCCTATATTGCATTACTAAGGTAAACAATATTGGCACAACTTTTTAACAGAATCAGAATAATAAAATATTAACGAAGCCAATAAACTATTAAAATAAATCGTTATTATAGACTGAAACTGTGTTCTTTTCCGCTTAAGAGACTCCATTGTCATTTATTTTATCGGTATTTATATTTTAATGTCACGGTCGCCAGAATATTGGAAAATAAAAAGGTGGAATCTTGCGGAATCGAATCCTTTAATAATTAGTACACAATTGACATTAAAAAATAGGAAAATTATAAACTACTTATTGCTAGGCAACAAAGTATCATCCATGGTCAGGAACTATGGATATAGGTTTCATCACATTGACCTTTTTACAGCAACGCTTTTCTGCTAGAAGAGAAAAAACATTGTTTACGTCAAATCTTTCCTTTCAATTGAATTAGCAGATTCCAACCGGGAAACTGTCAGAAAATAATTTCCCCGTTGAAAACCGTTTTTGTTAGATAATTATTAGTTTTGAATAATGTTTGTGTTTTTCTACTTATTATACAAACTTTTATTGAATTATTTTAAGCACTGATGTTAGATTTGTTCTTCGAGAGTTGTTAAAACTTGGGTAAGTAATTTCAGTTCTGATGTTTTATATGATAGACTGGCAGCAAGAAAATACAATAGTATAATCTCAGGGCGATGTACGCGAACTTCAAACTTTTTGAATTAACAAACTAAAAAAAATATGTTTCATAACATATTAGATATTCTCAACGTGATTCTCAATAGAAATATTAGCTTTACCCGTGGCTTCATCTTCGTTTAAAAACAAGACAAGACAGTTTATAAAAATAATGCAATTCTTTGTATCCATAAAATTTATGTTCTTTTTTTTATATATAGAGGTAGGCAAATGACTCTACCCCACCTGATGTTAAGTGGTAATAAAGTCCAAACGCGAAGATAGCTGGTACAGCAGTTTTAAACTGCTACACCACACCAATCATCCTCACCTTGCCGGACTGCAAAAATGCTTCTTTATTAATTTAATTTATATTTTTTTTTATTAAATTTTAATTTTGATGTATTTACAATTTACATTTTGTTATTGTAATATTTATACTTTGCTACTGTAAATATCTTGTCAATATAAGCCTCAGTCGAAAGATTTATTTTTCTACAGTAAAAGTGTGTTGGTTCATGGTCTAGGAAATGAGTCGGAAATCAAGCCAAAATCCGACTCGGACTCCAAGCCGAGAGGAAAACGAAGCCGGACTGAGTAATGTGAGTTCACATGGTTCACTTCATACATGTATTAAATGACGACTTCCGCGGCCCAGTACAGTTTGTACGTCGTGTTTCATAGTGTCGCCTACTCGAGAGGTCCCGGGTTCGAATCCCGATGGGGCCAGATGTTTGTGTGATGAATACGAGCATTTGTAATCCAGTCATGGATATTTAATCTATTTTTCTATATAAGTATACTTATATATCTACATTATATATGTATTCTATTCCTTACCCTAGTATCCCATAACAAAAGCCTTACAATGCTTATTTTGGCGCTAGGCTAATTGGTGTGTTCGGAGGAGTGGGTAGGGCGCCAGCGGGGCAGCCTCACCTTCCGCCTGGTTCAGGTACTAACCGGCAATGGGTGCTTCGGTCACTACCTGCACCATGTTGCCCGTCAGGAGGAGTCGCCGCGGTGTCATCACTGCGCCTCTCCCGACTATAACAGTTCTACCTGCCACTCCAGCCATCCCCACTTTGCCGGCCTGCGTGTTGCTTCTTCACGCCTCTTTTAAAGAATCTAACTGTCAAAAAAGAGTGTAATGTTAAAATATAAAGAAAATTTTACTAGAAAAGTCGACGCGGACCAGGCTGCAGATGGGACTCGAACCCACACCCGAGTGTAATGTTTATTGTGTCATACATAATGGTGAGAATAGGAAGACACATCATTCTGTGATAAAATCGACTATAATTACCTCTTACGGTTTTTCAGGAGAATACCAATCAAAGCAGCACACCACATCGTAGTCCGGTATGTAATTGGCAAAACCCACAATTTTACTTTAACGGCAGCAGACATATCAACTAGGAAAGGGATCGACACTGTATCAGCTCGAACCGTTCAATGTTCTTTGTATGAAACTCTACATACTAATCGGAATCGTATCGTAATCGCCTCACGAAGAAACACAAGCTTGCCCCGAGGCGATTACGATACGAATCCGATTAGTGTGAGTTGCAGTAGGGAGTTTCATACAAAGAATACCGAACGGCAAGGTGAGGAACTCTTTATTAGTTGATATGTCTGGTACGACCTTAAACTAGCAAAATTAATGAAGCAGAAGCGAAAATTTTTTTGAAGTGATAACTTCTTATTGGAAGGTAGACCGCTTCGTTACGTAACGTGTTACGGTGCCAGTCTGTCTGGCTTCCATTCCTCTCACGCGTACGGCAGCGGTAGGCAGGGTATTCCTTTCTCACTCTAACCCGCAGCGCCGCTTAGACACAGCGGTGACACTCTGTGTACGTGAGAGTTCCAGCGTCAGTGACCTTGAGCAGGAGCGTGTATCCGCTAGGGTTGAACTTGGAATTTAGACTTGTGCCAATGAATATTTATGCATAGTAAGTTATTAAATGTAAACTGATTCAAGGATACTGGGGTAAATAATGAAGGATAGGTTTGATTTTATAATCTTTTAATGTAGGTACTATAACAAATTGCTAACTTTTATATATTTTCTCCATAATCAATTCGTTTTATAATTCTTATTATTATCTAAATAATAATAAGATTGCGTAGCGTAGTCAGTCTGTGCGTGCAATGCAGTGCAACGCTATTATTTTACTATTTCGCTACTGCCATCCCTTCGGTCGAGGCAGTCGGCGACTGCCCTCTCCACGTCCCGCGCGCCGCGCAACGCCCCCGCACACCTCCAGACACCCACACATAGCCGCGGGCGATTTTACGAGCACACATGCTTAAGTGTCGCTTCTTTTCGCGTAGTGTATATATTCTGTGGCTTAGATTAGTTACAAGTTATCACTTCTGTACGCTTTTTTTATCATTGTTTACCGAGAATGGCAAATATTTGTTTGATTCTTTGTGTAACGAAATAAATAGACTTTTTCCCCTTTAGTTTATTATTAATTTTGCTTCCATGTTCAATGAAATGTATTTGATAAGATTCTAACATTCTATCTTAATCATTTTGTTTCAGAGAGACAGGCGGAGCGCTCAAGTAAGTATAAATACATTTCTTTTTATTCAAGGCGCAACAAATTACCACCCCCCACTTGATGTTAAGCGTAAGTGGAATCTAGTCGCGAAATACATGATGCGTCTGACAGTGTGCCGTTCCAGCTTTCATCACCTTGCTGACCGGAGGGCTAATCGCCTGTAACAAGATTGCTATGGCTATTGCTATCGCTTACGATTTCATTGTCTTATTTCTGACCGCTGAAGGTTTGCAAATGCCTCGCACTATTTTTATTTTCTTTTGCATTGGTAATAATAATATTAAATAAAATGAACGTAAAGTATTTGAAAGCTTTCGGGGGTCAAAAGTAACAAAATGAAATCGTATGCGATAGCGATAGCCATAGCAATCCCTTTGGCAATTGACACCCTGAACCCAATCCCTTTCCCTGAAACCTCGTGGAGCTCTGGAACCCTACTCAGCAATAAAATAACTACAGGTCCCCAGACGAGCGCTCCAATTCAAGAGGTAAATCCGCTGTGCTACCTCTCTTCAAATTTAAGAATATAGTGTCATTCATCATCAGCCTAATAACCCCACTTGTGGATCATAAGCTTTCCCTATGGATAAAATAGGCAAAACGTGTCATGCAGTTGAAATTAGCAGACATTGTAGCAAACACATCCAGCGGTAGGACCGTCACCAAACAGACGGTAAACGTATTTCTGGCAACAGTTTTGGTTTATCTTAATAAAAGGAAAGAATCAATAGTGTTAGTGATGTGGTTGCATAATTAACACATTAAAAATTTAGTACCTGCCATAATAAACTAGAATTGTTACTGTTTTGTAGTAATTTTATTTTTAATTTGATTGTAGAGCCTGCTTGGAGCCATTGAACCAAGGGACCAGCGAAGACACGGGGTTGGTTGATGATTATTGATGGACCATTTTTTTCTAATCTTTTCTACCCATATAAAGGGAAAACAGTATATTTTAAAGAGGTTATGTTTGTAAATTTGTGAGTATGATTATAGTCACTAATCTCTGGAATTATTGACTCGATTTTGAATTTCTTGAAAAAATCTTTGTATTTCATCTCATAGAGTTGTCTTAGGTGATTTGACCACTCTTTAGTATCTTTCACCGGCTCAAAGTCGGGGCAGGTCGCTAGTTTATTATAATCTGCTTAACTATGTATTAATAATATTACAAACACACATGTTAATCGTTCAAGCACCAGAATGTGTTCGAACCTAACCCTTCGTTATTAGATATATTACCGCAGTCTAGCATCGAATCATCGTGTGGTAATAAATTTTAAATAATAATAATAATTTTCTTTTTTGTTCTTTATACTTATTTAATTATCCGTCATGGGTTGCCTGGAAGAGATTGCTATTAAGCAATAAGGCCGCCCATTGTGTAATGTCTCTCTGTCAGTGTAATCTTACTGTTATGTCCATTGTGGTGTTATACAATAAAGAATATTATTATTATTATTATTATTATTATTATTATTATTATTATTATTATTATTAAATTTTAGTAAAGCTTAGCACAATATAGTTTTTTTTATAAGCTTTTAGTATTTCCTTATTTCAACCCACCTGATGTTAAGTCAGAGTGGAGTCCAGACGCCAAGATAGCTGATGCAGCAGTTTGACCTGCCCCACCAGACATCTTGCCAACTTGTGATGTGCTTCTTCACGCCTCTTCTAAGTATCTCGATTGTAGGAGGGAGGATTACAGGAAGAAAAGAGGGATGCAAAAAATATTAATTAAATGTTTGGTTAAGTTCGCCTGCGTGGGTCACAGTCTACAGAACTTGCAGTGTTACCTTGCTGCATCGCCAAACTAGCTACCAGATATTGGGTCCCCCGTGGTCTCGCAAAGGCGTGTAGACATATTCTTTAGGAATCATTTTGCAGCAGGGCACCTATTGTTTCTACGTGGGAATTATATAAATATTACATTATTTGTTGTATTGTAGGCGCCTGCGAGTCACGGCCCCGCTCTTTATGAAGTAAAAGCCACATGGGAGGAGGCGAAAAACTATGACTTCAACGCGGAGAGGGGACCGAACCGAAAAACTGTCTCGTGAGATTCTAAATACCCTTTTTTTAACCCAGAAAAATAATTGATACCTACCCTGCCGTTGGGTAATGGAGGCCATACACACTAGGTTTTGCATGATGGTTATGCATGTACATGCATAACCGAGTTTCATATTGCACATACACGTTAGGGTTTGCATGTACAGTTTTGCCATTATTCTCAGTTGAGCTACGTGACGGTGTGTGTAGAACGCCTATTAAGTACTGTGAATGGAATATTTTTTTAATCACATCTTCTTTCGTAGCTGTGGGCACTAATTCCTTGACCTTAGTTATCAATCTCTGGTATTTTTTGCACTTTACGCCAAAGGCAAGGTTCCGACTTATAACTTTCTATGAATTCTTCTAATGTTGCATTGCGCTTGCGACTAGCCATTTTCGAAACGACGCGATGGTGCTCGGACCTTCCGCCGTCGCAACAATTAAAAACTGAGAACTTGTGACAGGCAAGCTCGCCGGACGCCACACACGCTCGGTTATGCATGCGCATGCATAACCGAGCGGCATAAAATATCAATTTTGATATTTGTTCGGTTGCATGTGCAACGATAACTGTACAGTTTTATCACATACACGCTAGGGTTTGCATGATGGTTATGCATGAACATGCATGGCCTGGAACGTGTATGGCCTCCATAAGGCGACGGAGTAATGTGGGACTCTCCTCACTAAAACTCTGGGGTGTCCTTGTCAGCAGTGATGGTATGGGTCCTTTATTGGGAATCGACGACACGAGCTAGCTTTCAAAATGTTTACTTTAGTACCCACTCGCTCCAAGTGTCAGGATTGATCTGAACCAGTGCCTTCCGTTATCCGGGCGGACGCACCAACTCTATCTCTCTATGTGCATCTCTTCATTTTGAAGACCTGTGGTACACAGTTCAAATTCTAATTAAAAAAATGTTTAATCTGTTAAGGCTTTTAACGAGTAGAAGCTACGCTAAAGTCATCATTCATCAATATTAGCGGAAGGTCAAGAACTTGAAGAGAAGTAACATAGCGAATTTTCCACTCGAGTTGGATTGGAAGATCACAGTAAAATAACAGTACCTTTTGGTGGTGTTGTGTTTCTGACGGTGAATAAGGGTCCGCGGCTCCACCGAGTCGGGGTTTGGGTCAAGGTAGTGTAACGTCCGTTACGTTACAGCCTCCTTGTTTAGGTAAACTCTTTGCTCTTACAATGCCTACGGTTGGCAGTTATATTAAAAAGTTAATGTCATGATTTTAAGATTTGAAATAAGGAATCGTCAGTCTTTTGATAAAAGGTTCCATACAGGAGACGATCTTCAGGCACCAACCCTTGCGTAGCTTAGATAAAAATAATTATATTCGCCTGAATCAAATAAATAACATTAATAATCCAGTATCTTTTAATTAGTAACTACGTCCCCTGAGTTCTATCCACTCTGGCTAGAACTCCTCAGTAGTCAACAACGGAGCGACTGATATTTCTAATATTGCAAGCGTTTACAGGCTACGGTAGCCACTTACCATCAGGCGGGCCTACGCTTGCTTGCCACCCTGTTAACATACATAAAAAGGGTAGGTTTGTTTCCCTGTACTATTATATCAGAGTCAACTAATAATTGTGTTATCGGTTTTCTTCTTTTTTCTTTATCAGCGTCATCGAGTCAATCGGGCACTTGATCAAAAGTTGCCTGGGTGGAGGCATAGTCGCCATCCATGAGGCGTACAAGACTTGTGGTCTGTGGACGGCGGTGGTGCTAAACGTGTTTCTGGGTTTCTGTGTCGCCTATTGTATGTATGTTAGTAACCTTATCTAAAATATTTATAAAAATATCCACTCGTCTGTCATAAGGCGCCTTGGGTTTAGTGCCTTACTTATTTCTTTATTTCCGATTACAATTGTAAGATTCATTTTGTTAATCATCATCATTCATTCATTCATCTTTAAAATTTGTATTAATTTGCCTAGATACTTTTTTATCTTGATTTCCTCTTGCTTGCTTATGCTTTTAGTAACTAAGACTCAATTTCACCAAACTTCGTCAAATCGTTTGTTAGCTAATGGTTCATTAAAATTAACAATATTGTTAAATTAATTTACGTCCTATATGAAAAATGTAATTACTAAATCAATCGCTCAGAAAAATCTGAGCGATTTTTAAAAAAACGACAAAAAAATAAGTCTATTTGTTTGGCATAAATAATGACGTCTCCTATTTTCAACGGAAGCATAATAGGTAAGGCGACCAAAATTTTAATTACATTTACTAGATAGACTTGATACACAACACGTTTTTATTTTTGCTCGTTGAAATGTCAAATATTTCTAGGATTTAATGGTTTGTTGTTTTGCTTGTATGTGGGATTTTTTGATAACTTTTTTATTTGATTAGTAAGTATAAAAATGCATACACCACGGTCTTATTTCAAAATTGTTATACAAATTGCCGGAAGGCGTAATATTATGCTTTCTAAATTATTTATATTTTCTGAAACATCTTCATCTTTGAAAATAGTACTGTATCGGTGTGGATTTGACGTAGTTTGACATATAACAATCGTCTAATAATGATTTAACGGACTTTTTTATCCGTGATTAAGTTCAACATCACATCAAGAGGAAAATACTCTGTTAGTGTTTCATGGAACACAAAAAAACATTAACAGTCCTTTAAAGGACTTAACAAGTTGTTAAATTAATAACAAAGCTTGGTGAAATTAGGCTAAGCTTAGTGCTCCCGATTGCATCTGCAGTCGATAGCACCCACCAATCTACATAGAGACAGACTGGCAGATCATGGCTATAGGTGGTGCTACTGATACTCCGGAGAACTGCACATGTGGGGAGGGTGGGCCGGTTTGCGGACAATAACTGGTGGGGCAGCGGCAAAGTGCTAATGTGCATAATCCCGCCATAACCCTGCACTCTCGACATGCATTTGGGGATATCGATACTAGAGTACGCATCGGATAACCGATGCAGGAGTATTGTCAAGGGTTTTACTAGGTAGGGCCCTGCTCATTTCGTCGAACCATAGAGCTGGGTGAAAGGGGCGGGGAGGAATCCTCAGATATCTTCGTTGCAACTCTCGGTGGTGAACAAGACAAATCTTTTCCAAACACACAGGTCGTGGCTACTCTCCCTATACCATCTATTAGGAAAGCGGTAAAGACGTTAATTAGGCTGACGACGAGGATGATTATTGCAATGATTTCTTCATTTCCGATGCAGATACTAGCGAGGTCCGCACAAAGAATGTACGGAAGAGTGAAAGTACCCAAGATGACATACCCTGATTTGGCGCAGGCCTCCTTGCAAGTCGGACCCTGGCCAAAATTGAGGAGATTTGCCATGTGTTTCCGGTAAGAATAACGGCTTTACACAGAGAATTCAATGAATTTTTAAGTTTGACTAAAGTCATTTCTGTCCCTTTCTTTGCTACAGCAATAGAGTAAGACAATACGCGACTGTAAAATGATAATAATATTTATTAATATTTGATGTAACTAAGATCGATCGTAAAAGCTCACTAACCAAAAGAGGAAAGAAGTAGATTGGAATGTGGAATTACTTGCCAGTGTTTTTAAAAAACACGTGGCTAGTAGCTATTATATGTAATTACTGTTTGTTTCACAGCTACGCTGTAGATACTACCATCACAGCTGATCTCTTCGGATCCTGCTGCGTTTATCAAGTCATCATAGCGACAACCATCAAGCAACTATGCGAAGGAAGAGACGAAGTCACTATGGAGGGCAACCCACCCATAAGAGTTTATATTATTGCTCTCCTCATACCCTGTATACTGATCTGCATGATCCTGACTTTGAAGTACCTTGCACCGTTCTCTTTGGTTGCAGACGCTTTCATCAGTAAGTAATGTTTTAAACTTACCTTTTAAAATGTCGTAGACAAATCAAAAATATTACTTTCAATAGGGCTGATTTGGAGATGTTGATCGATTTAAATCATTATTTACGATTGTAATATTTAACCCTAAAAGTATGCCAATGTTTATAATTATAACTTTATCTGATTTTACTTGAGCTGTTGTCTTATAATCTATGTAGTTTGAAATTCATACACTTGCTCTACGGCGTTAAAAACTTTGTGTTTTTGTGGGATTAAGATTTTGTAACGCGTAGCCGAAATCGAAACGTATTTTAAAACAGGGTATAAATAAGCCCTTTATTTATAGAGGAAGATGTAAATAAGCCTTTTATATTTTCTATTACTCTTTCCGGATTATTATACATTATAATGTTCCCTTTAGTGAGCATATTTTTCGTATTTATTTCACCACATGTTCGCCAGCAACCCGTGTCAATGCCATAAAACTGATACACGATCTTGGTCGCACTGTAAGTTTGAGAAATATCGGGTTCACACGAGGCGATTTTAGTTGATCAACTGCCAATCGCATGCGATTTTAACCATCTGAATAGATTTTCAATCAAATTCAAAAAAAGCAATTGAACGATAAAAGTTGATTCGATTTAAATCACCTTCTGTGAACTCGGTATAATATGAACGACGAAGACGATTACGATATAATATCGAAACAATCAATAGTATCCATCAGGCGCTAATACACTCCCACTTAATTAGTACATAGTTCTAATACACACATCTATTGGTCAACTTAAGTTTCAACGGTCTGTAGCAAAAATATGGTACAGGTTAGCAATTACAATATATTTTTAAAAATACACGAAATGGTTTTTCAATTAGTTTCACAATTGCGAAAAAACTCTTTGCTCATAGTAACGCTTTTTAGCTAGGGAACTTCAAATCAATACTTAAAATACTAGGTGGACCGATAGATGTGTCTGCAAGATATATTGATAATATTATTCAAAGGTTCAATCAACTTTCAGTCACTGTCGCGTGCGCAACAATATACTACGGTGTGAAGCATGCTGAGAAAAGTCCTACGGAGTTCGAAGTATTCAAGACTGTACCAGGACTATTCGAGTTCATGGGCGTGTGCGTGTTTAGCATGGAAGGCGTTGGAGTAACCCTGGCAGTCGAGAACAGCATGACGCATCCGAAGAAAATACCGCTGGTTCTTTTTGGAGGTCAGATGATATTGAATATTGACATCATTACATTAGATGCTCACTGCTGGGTCTCGGGCCTTTGTTATGGACCACTTCGCAGCTGCGGTGAAAATTGTAACTTGTACATCATTGATGGTTTAGGCAAAGCTAATTAGGGGTATTAGAGATTAGGTTAGGGTTAGTCTCCTCGATGCTGGAGTTCTAAACATTATTGCCACTAGTTTACGTAGATTTGGCTCGAAGACCAACTTTTATAAAGGATAGAAATAAAACCACAGCGTTCACCTTAAGTAACGACAGAAAAGGGCGTTGTCTTTTATTACCACCAAATAAATTTACAAAAATATTCAAAAACACCTTCAATAAAAAAGTTAATATAGTTGTCCTCTAGGTCAACAGATGGCGTTAGTAGTACACGAAACTTTAATAAGATACATTGTTTTTAATGATTTTTAGAAGATTTTACCAGATAATTATTTATATTTTATTTTCATAACTATTATTACTTAATTTAAATTAAAGCACAAACTCAGAAATGCGTCGCCTACAACGTGTTATCAGCTTTTGTAAAAGTTCCATACAATTTGTCTCTGCAATCACAAGCCAAGTGTCCCATCCATTTTTTGATATCTAGTACAAAATAATAATCAATCAAGCTTCTTATTATTTAAGTGGACTTTCATTTTTCCCCATATCTTCTTCACAGCTAGCAGTTCTGAACTGGTGGTAGGTAGCAAAAAATTGGATATTCAAAAAACTTATTTTTTGTAAATTCAAGTTTGCTTTTTTTTTTAAATGTTTCACCTATTTTAGGCATGTCTGTTGTGGTGGCAATGGTGATGATAGTGGGTTTCTTTGGCTACTGGGGCTTCGGAGAAAAAAGCAAATCACCAGTCACAGTAAATTTCCCTTGGGAAGTGTAAGTACACAATATGGTATTTCTATCATTTTACAGATGGCCTATCTAATAAGTAGTATTTCCTTTCTAATGATAAATCGCACTTACATCGTTTGACTGTAGGTAACCATATTCTATTGTCTGTTCTAATTACATAATCTGTGGAGTGTTTGAGCGTACACTGCGGTGTCCCGCGCACAGCGCGGACCCCCCACGACAACGGCTAACTAGAGCCGTGGTCCGAGTCTCAGAGGCGCCCTCTAGTTGAGCCCTCAGGTTCAAGTGGTCTAGAGGCTCCAGGCGGAGAGGAGATTCCCCCCGTGGGGAGATGCCATCCGCCTGGAATACCTCTATAGGCCACTCGCCAATTCTCGGCTTGAGATCCCCTTAGGATCTCGCCGTCCCCAAGCCCGGTGACGCTGTAAAGGTCATCTGCGTCAAACAGCATACACACTCAAAAAATAATAAAAATGTAAAAATCGGAGCAGATGTCCGCTCCGCATTCTTTTCTTATGTCATTACATAGAACAGGGCTGAACGGCAGACCTGCTTAACGCAGCGCAGGCGGCTAAAGATAGAACAGTTGTGTCCGGCAAAATAAAAAGCCAATGAATCGGCACTTTTGTCTTACCTGGCAATATTATTTTGTACCTCGCCTTTCCCCCATCCTAAAGCATATACAAATCCTACCGTGTTGTAAGATTTTACAGTATATTTATAGCTAGAAGTTTTAGGCCCACTGGCAGCAAATTTGCTAAAACTCTATTCAGCTAAAACTAGTTTTAACCCGTAAAATAATGTCAAATTGACATTGACGTTTTGGCTTTTTTCTATGGGTTAAAGCTAGTTAAAGTGAAATCGAGGATTTGCAAAATTGCTGCAAATGGACGTTAAGGTGCAATTTTGATTTACGATTGCGTATGGAATTGGGATCAACGACTAAGACCCGTATTATAGAAAGATTCTCAGTGATTGATCTAGTCTTCAGTTTCATCATGTTAGTTTTGGTTCCCCACAATGTAGCATTACTGAGGTACTTTCCAATTAGAATGCGGGTGCAAGGTCGTTTTCCCGTGTTCCAATACCCGAACGAGAGTAAAACGAAAGTAATTTTTGTTTCGGGTGCCCGAAATCAAGAAATATCTTTCGTGCATTCGAATACGGGCTAGCGACCGAGTTCATAAAAGTAATACCGTGGTATTTTATATTTTACTGCAGTAAATTCATAGAAACCTGTTTCATATAAATTACACTTTCTTAATAATTTTACTCCACTAGTTGCGTAATTGACTGTAGTAAAAGCCGCAGTATTAACCACTCTTCTATGAATTAAGCCCTAAGTGTAATTATGCCTTTAGTATATTTACCTAGATAAAGGTCCACTTGCAAAAAAATTGCTAAATCTCGTTTCAACTAAAACTACGAAGACATTGATGTTTAGACGTTTTTGTATGGACTAAATTAAGTTTTAGATAATAATTCGAGATTTAGCATATTTGCTGCGCAAGTGGCCCTTATAGAATGAAAGTGCCCATGAGTCTGGCGAAAGGACTTAATGTAAAGTTACCAATCCCTTCCACAGATTCCCAGTGATACTAAAAGTGTTCATGGCGCTAATGATTTACGTGACGTTCGCGCTCAACTTCTGGGTACCGTTCGAGCTGGTGTGGCACTATTTGAAGAGACGCCATCCCCCGGAAAAGTTCTGGTTCTGGGAGCGTGTGTACAGGGCGGGGTTCGTGATAGGGATCACGCTCATTGCCACCGCCTTCCCTAACGTCTCCAAGCTTATTGGACTGGTAACTACGCTGCCATCAAAAACATAACTTGTAAATAAAAAACAAGGCTTACAACTCAGTAATAGGGGTGATGACGGGGTACAGTAAACGAAAGTCCATTAAGTCCGTCAGTTAGATGATCAAAACGTATTTTTTCTTTGGGCAATCAACCAAAAATTAAAAGTGTACCAAAACATGACGTCATGCGACTTTTCAAATCAATATATCTCTGCAATGTTTATATTATGTGAAAAAAGAAAAAATACGTGTCCAATACTTTTTGATAATCTACCTTATAAACGAAGAAAAAAAATTAGTCATCATCCCTATTCTTCTACCGTAAAAAGTTGTGAGATTCAAGTAATACCAAGCCGATTAATTTGTTTAGTCCATGCTTAAGGGACCTTCTGGTGTCGATTCTGGCATGATTCTCTTAACCTAAACTTAAATTTTACAACAGTGTATCCTTGTCATTCTCTATACATAATGAAAAGGAGAGAACGATGTTAAAATTTAGTTTAAAGTTTAGAGAATCATGACAGAATTGACACATCTTTCTTATAACATAATGGGGAATATGTTCGTAATTCAAATAACCCTCATTTTAAGTTTATTACTTTAAAGTTGTACCTCCATCAATATTTCTTAATAAACTTTTGTTTTCTAGCAAGTAATAAATGATATAAAATTGCGAAAAAATAGTGGGAAATCCAAATATTTAAAACGCGACGAGAGCGGTTGTGACGTAAAAATGTATCTTTTTAACAACAATAAACGTAATGTTCTCAGGATATGGCAATATCAACGAGATTATAGTGCAAGTGCGTAGATGTCAACGCTGCGTTCCAGCTAGACACCGAGAGCAACTTTTTGCTTAGAATGCTTAGAATTTCTCCCAAATTAAAATTGAGAAATTGGGCAAAATAAAGAGCGAATTTTAAACAATAACCAAATAGTTATAGTTTTGATTTTTTATGCATGTAACTGCTCGATGTGGTCTATATGCCAAATTCTAATATAAAAGCACTACAGAAGTAGGTATGTAGTGACTACATACTTCTGTAGTTCTGTATCTTGGTATTAGATATCAGGCGGGCCATCAATCCTCTATTTGAAAACTGAGGAGTAGAACCCAACTTAACAGGCTATAACTCGATGGGTTTCATAATAATTCTACTCACATTGTCACAATTATTTTGGAAAGTGCAGTTAACTATAAGCATATTTCGAAAGAGTTCAGAGGCCCCAGCTGGGTTCGTCAGATTCTATGAAAACTCAGCAGAGCCCCCCCCCCCCCCCTATTGCACGTAAGAACAGACAAGCTTTTTCCATACAAAATTTGACGATTACGACACTTAACGGAGGTGTCAAAAACTCGTGCTTGCGCCTCTGATTGCATTCGCACCACAAAAAAATTCACAAAAAATCCACTTCAAGCTTTCACAATTTCTTTCGGAATGTTCACTTAACCATCAGCACATTTTCAAAGAGTTCAGGCGGCATTCACACATAGTATTTACAGTATTTTATTCGCAGATTGGATCTTTCTGCTTGTCCAGCATGGGCTTCATATTCCCCGCGTTCATCGAGCTGAGTTTGGACTGGGAGTACCCTGGGCTTGGCTACATGAAGTGGAGGCTCATCAAGTTTATCGTTATCTTGATATTCGGCAGTATATTGTGCGTCGTGGGCACAATACAGAACGCAAAGGAGTTGATTATAGCTGTCTTCGTCACAAAAGATTAATGACACCTATTGAGAACTGTAGCTTTGTAAAATGCACTTTTGAGTTATTTCTCAGGGGTTACTATTGTTCTCAAAATAATGAGACGTTCAGCTTTGTCAAATATTCATGTAAAGCATAATTTCAGAACGCAAAGGAGTTGATGTCGCTATAAATCAATTAATCCCTGCACACACAAATGTCTTAAAAATTACTTTATTTTTTCTATGACCGACTAGTTTTACTTGGAATTTAGAATAAATTTATTGACATTTAACTATGTATTTCATTTGTTGGATACGCGTACGTTATAAGACAACAGTACCCCTAGCACGAACCATTATCGAATTCGAATAGTTTGCAAACCGAAATGTCTGTCAAATTTGAAACTTGAACAGCAGCGGCACAAAGTACGTAACGAGAACTAAAAATCAGTACACATTTGACAATGACATTTCGGACTCGCAAACGATACGAATTCGATATTGGTTCGTGCTAGGGGTACTGTACCCTTGTCAATTATGTACTGATTTTTAGTTCTCGTTTCGTACTTTGTGGCGTTGCTGTTTCCATATAAAATCAAGATTCCATACAAAATTTGACCATGACATTTCGCACTCGTAAACTATTGATTGAATTCGATATTGATTCGTGCTATTGCTGATTCTATTTTTGAGTAGGCTCTGGGGACCCAAACAATGTGTGAAGAGTCCAGTCAGAAGCAAAGTCGCATTAGCCACTTACAGAATGATAGCCACCAAATATCCTAATCCAAAAACAATTTATACGTTAACAATAAAATAAAAGGCAAGTTCAAACTTTCAGTTTATTGCTGCAAGCTATCGGGTCAGCACTGCAATACACCGGCCACACTGGTTGAACCTTGACGCCACGAGACATCATACGCCATCTGTCAAAATGAAAACAACCATCACCAACCTGTCCCTACTACGGAGGACAATGCGCGCTGGCCTACTTTGTAACCGACTTATTGTGGTAACACTAGTGGCCACTATTCCTACACGAACGTGACTCATTTCTTTCTCGTACTTCGTAAGTGGAATTCTTTGCCCGCGCACGTGTTCTCGTCCTAAGAGAGGCTTGAAGAAGCATTTTTTGCAGGCCGGCAAGGTAAGGATGGTTGGTGTGGCAGTTTATAACTGCTGTACAAGCTATCTTCGAGTTTGGACTTTATCACCATTTAGCATCAGGTGAAGAAGAGTCGAAGAGGCGTGCCGGATGATGCTCAGTGGGAAGACCCGCTACAAGGTGGACCGACGATCTGGTGAAGGTCGCGGGAAAACGCTGGATGCGGGCAGCGCAGGACCGATCGTTGTGGAGATCCTTGTGGAGATCCTTGTGCGAGGCCTATGTCCAGCAGTGGGCGTCGTGCGGCTGATATGATGATGATGATGATGATGATGAAGAAGAGTCATTTGCCTACCTGGCTATTTAAAAAAAAAGTGATTCGAACGCGTATAAAGAGATTGAGTGCCTCATTTCTTTGTCGCTCTATCTTCAAATGGAATGCTTCGCCCCTCACGTGTTCCCGCCATCCTTTAACCCTGAGTCCTTTAAGAGCAAGTGCACCTTGAGCCACGAAACGCGTCCACAAGCTGCGGTCGAGTGTTTTCATACATTTTAGAAAGTACCGGCGTAAACTAAGAGCGTTCGAGTGGCCGCCACAAAGCCATTGGCGGTGGCGATCGGTGGTTGCGTCTGGTGTCTTGATGGATCTACTAGTGGCCGCGATTACTTTAGTTAGCACTTTGCAAGCCATTGGTGAGGATGGACTGCTGCACCAGCTATCTTGGCGTCCGGCCGTCACTTATCATCAAGTAGTGTAGTGATAAATGACTTTTTGTATAAAAAAAAACATTTATAATAAGCTCTCACCTATGAGCGTCGAGTCGATAAATGACTTTTTGTATAAAAAAAACATAATAAGCTCTCACCTATGAGCGTCGAGTCTGGCGTACGTGTATGCATTGGCGCTGGCATTCGCTGCCATATCAGACCAGAGCCGCTCTGCCACTGCGCACAGCCGCGGCCAAATATGGTAGTCCAAGTTACCTAAAGTTCAGACAATGAAGCTTTCATTAACATCGTGAATAAGCTAATTGACGATGCTATATATCAAAAGGTAAAAAAATCTGGTTAGCTACCCATAAAATGCGGTTATTAACGGTATCCGACTTCAACCTATAATAAGTCGCTTAACTTAACATTTGACGACCTCCGTGGCCGAGTGGTTTGTACGCCGGGTTTCATGGTGTCGCCGACTCGAGAGGTCCCGGGTTCGAATCCCGGTGGGGGCAGATGTTTGGGTGATGAATACGTGCATTTGTACTCCAGTCATGGATGTTTAATATGTATTTCTAAATAAATATACTTATATATGTACAGTATATGTATTCTATCCGTTACCCTAGCATCCCATAACACAAGCCTTATAGTGCTTACTTTGGGGCTAGGTTAATAGGGTATTTGACAGTGTTAAAAATAAAAGTGCCAATTGTTAGCATCTGTGTTTAGAACGAATATTGGAAGGGGATTTTACTATTTTTACAAAAAAAATATTTGTAATTTTACTAAAAACCCACGAAAAAATAATAGTTTTCTTATCTATTGCCACGTGACCCAAAACGCTTGGGATTGGCGGAGCCTAAAATGACGTCACACGTAAGTAAACTTCCGGTTAAAGTGAAATTACATTGTATCGTTTGACGTTTTAATAACAGTCGTGTGACGTCACACACTAGTAAGACGCCATATTGTCCAGAAAAACGTTATCGCGGCAACTTGAAAATGGAGTTTTTTATTTGGTTATTTTTACTGAAATACACAACAAAATGATAAATATCCACCTTTTACGGACTCCATAAACATTAGTCAATAAATAACGTGAGATCGTTTTCTAAAACTTGTCAAATAGTACCCTATTGGGGTGTGTGTTGGAAATATTTATAATTATATATTTGTATATTAGGTTTTCACGCACATCACTCATTAAATAAAACAAGTTTTCAACGGGTTAGATGTACTGGTTTTATTTATATATTGACGTTTCGCAGCCTTTTCAGGTCTGCGTCGTCTGAATAATGATTTTTTTATTTACTTTGTCAGGCTACCTTCGAAAGACTTTTATTGAGCGTTCGGATATTTCATCGGAATATTTTTAAAACTTTATTGTCTATGTATGAAGTTATTAACTGGTCTAATAAATAAAGTACTTTTTTTTTGTAGTTATGTTGCCACATTAGAACTTTTTAAATTTAAATCTTCTCCTTTTTTTGTAATAGGGCGGCATTTTTGTTTTATTGTTAACATTTTCCATTTACACTCACATCGTAAGTAAGAAGGTACCCTAACAATTTTGGTAATAACCACATAATATGCACACATTGAAGGTTAGAACAGTCCGGCGAAGGAAGGAATTAGAACAGTAAAACGTCAATATGTCAAAGTTTTGGTCAGTGAAGTCCAACGAAGACTGAAAGGCCTTGTTAGCGCTTTCACCCCTAAACTTGCACTGCGCATTTCAAGCCACTAGCGCCATCTATCATTGCTTGTTAACCGTAACAGTCATAAAATGCGGTTAAATAATCATTAATAACCAGCTTCGCATCTATGGGTACGGCCAGAGTGCACTCAGATTCAGATTCAGACTCAGAAAACAAGCGCGAGAAATATACAGTGTAGTTTAAGCAGGTTGCCTGCTGCCACTATGGCCACCCTGCTTTAACTTCACTGTTTATTTCTATATTATTCTGAATCTGAGTGCACTCTGGCCGTACCCTATAGTTTTACTTCGTGCAATCGCCACGGAAGCAATTTGTATAAACGTCCCTTAATTGACCAAAATAAAAAAATATCGCCCAAAAGATTCAGAAAATTACATAGAATTGATAGCGTGGCTAGGCAGTGTACCAATGAAACTTTATTTACATGTTTTATGTAAATAAAATTATTTTGAAAATTACTTAAAACACTATTTATGCAGCAAATTAACAAGCAACCAGCGCATTCCTTGTTTTTTTTCAAGCAAATTAAACAACTGAGTTAAATAAAATCTCAAACGGGCCATGATACAATGTAAAAATACCTGAGTCTACCAAGTCTGTCCAAAGCATAGCCTCACCACCTTCAATAGAGAAAACTTCCACGTTCTTCCAGGACTTCCACGAGTACATTTCTTGCCAAGTTCTGTGAAATCAGTTCAGATTATTTCATGGATGCAAGTAGGACGTAAATTACATCCAATCCAAGCGGGTGGTGATGATACTGTGGTAAATGAAGTAAGACTAGAAATATTGTATTCCCAGTAACTTACTTATGTTTTTTATATAACGGCAATATTAACAATATTTCAATAAACATACATTGTAGTAAATGTGAATCTTCTAATTTATATATATACTAGCGGACCCGACAGACGTTGTCCTGTCTACACGTCTTTGTGAATCTAAACCATTCTCAGATCCCCTTGAACACACACAAAAAATTTCATCCAAATCGGTCCAGTCGTTTAAGAGAAGTTCAGTGACATACACACTCACAGAAGAATTATATATATAAAGATTTATTTATATATAGATCTTCCAAAAACCCATAGAAGTCCGGTAAGATGTTGACGTTATAATATCAACATTAGAATTCACGAGAAAGGATATAGATCAGGAAGTGTTATTAAATAATTCTACTAAATATTATATAGAATTTGTACTTTGTTTTGATTAATCTGATGTAATTAATATGATTGTTTAGTCATTAACCAACGACGCATTTAAGACCTGCTCTTGGCAATCAAACATAACGGCTGATGAAATAGATACCTATCTATTACTAAATTCTCTTATTGTGTTTACATCTAGCTAGTAGATCAATTTATTAGTGACTATATACTCAAGGCTTAATGCAAATTTAATCAATGTAATTGCATGTTTAAGTTATTTCACTGAATAAATATTCACCGAAAAACAAGTATATGAAAGCTTATTACAATAAAAAAAATCATGGGAATTCCTAAAATGATCGCAAACATACTTATTTCCTATGATATTTATAAAGAAGCGATAACCAATACAAATAATAAAATTAGTCAATACATCACCTGTACTTAGTACACCTGTTCCTTTGCATATGACAAGACAGTTCCCACCTACTTGAATGGATAACTCTAAAATTGCCAAGGTATTGATCATCATGATCTTGCGTCCATTCATGCATCTGAACTCCTCTCTTATTCCAAGTCGTTGTGTCTAAATCTTTAGATAAGTGTGCAGAATACCACACTATAGGTAGTTTAGGCGTAACCCCATTATTAGCCGACTTCAACCTAACCAATGCTTTATCCAAAAAACCTTCTCTATCATCGATTAGGTTAAAACAGTTAGCCATAGAAAATAAACCATCACTCAAATGGAACACATCATTAACTTTAGTCAGATCAATTATATTCATATAGATAGTTTCAAGAATATCGAACACGGATTCCTTCATTTTTAAACGTAAGCACAATATATTGTCACAAGTTGCGTTGTCGTTTCTCTTCGAACAACTGGTGTCTGGCGACCAAGACCAGGCTCTGCCTACTGGACCAGGAACCGCTACTTCTATCAAAACCCTTATCCCTCTAATACCAGCTCTACGTACTATAGAAACAACGTCTTGTTTAGTATAAATCATTGATCTACCGTATGCTCCATATTCGAACAATTGTCGTACTTCGGGTAAAAATAAGGGAAAGCTGGTTGCGTCGGAAATTCTCCAATGAAGCGTGTTCAATTTGACAGTGGCCATTGTGTCTACAGTCCTCATTATATCTGCTACAGGAATATAATTCCTAGCAGTATCCAACATAAGACCTCTGTATTTATAACTCGGCGCGTCTTTCACTAGACTATTGGATAATGTTATTAGGAAACCAGTGAATTGGTCAAATAGAATCATCTGACTCAAAGTTTCTAAGCCATGTCTGACACCAGCGAAGGATGGTGAAGAAATTTTTATGTTCACAGTACTTGGTAGACTTTCTACTTTGAGTGTGTAAGATTCGTCTGTGTTGTACCTCAGTCTTGGATCTGCATCGGTGTCGACGTAAATCACTATATTCATCTTTCTAACAACCAAATCTGTTTCGTTGTGCTCGCTTGGATCGGATTTTTCTAATTTGATTAAGTTTCCAATGAATAATTTGAATGCTTCAGCGAGATATTGGTGTACGCTTTCAGAAGGTATAGATTGGAATTTGTATTCCAATTTATTGGTTGCCAATGCTACTAGCTTCTTGCTGAAATGCGTGTAGCCTACAGGATGTGGCCACAGCTGTGGGCCGAGACATAGAAGAGAACAGCGACTTAAGGATATGAAATATATATTCGAGCTGATCGGTTGATACACTTTTTGACAGAAACCCTTTTCGCATTGCCAAGCATTTGAGTTGAACACGCTAAAATGATAAGAAACTTTTACGACACAATTAAAATTGTAGTTACCTAATTACCTACAACTCTTTTCTAAAAAACAGAAAAAAGTACTTATAGTAAATAATAAAACGCCTTTTGATATTAATTCTGCAAATAATTATTTTCGGTAATTTGTCAATGATTTAAATAAGTAACCCTATGGCTGTACTTGTACCTACTCACTCTGTTGAAAAATCTAAAAATAATTATATTCTGCTGCTGATGAAATAACTAGTGTATATTAAAGACATGTCTTCTAACCTAAGTACAGTACAATTTAATATCGAAACTGCGTTTAATTCATTTACTATTAAATATTAAAAACGAATATTGTTTGTACGGCCTACCTACATTTTCCCTGCAACTTTGTATAAGAAATTTAACAAAGTAAGTAACGTATATATGTTGATTGTTTTAAAGTGATAATGATTGAGGTGTACGTCCATAGATTTTCACATTTATCAAGATTAACAAAACGAATAAAAGGAAAACAAAGACTCGTATATTTATGGCATGTCTTACATATTGTTAGTATTATATATATAGTATTAACATTTAATAGTATAGTATACTAATATGTGAACGTTATCCTAAGAGCTCAATCTCTATAGATCTGTATCTTTCTATGTAACATTTCTTAATTTATACTCAGGTTTCTTATTTTTTAATCATCTACTCACCTCATCTCTTCAGCAATCAATTTCTTAACTGGACTGGGCTCATCAGAACCATAAAATTTTACAAGCACACCAATAATAATTAAAATAACTAGGAAGCAGCTAAAGACAGCCAAATAGATACGCAAATTATCTTTTATGTTCCACCTAAAAGATAAAAAAAAAATAAGGTCAGTATTATAAATTGCTATAGATTTAATTTTGCACTAAGTACGCAATGTTCACATCAATAAAAGGTGTTGGCATCACTTTATGATATTTTTTTTTATCAATAGAGGCACAACCTATTGAACTAGTCGGAGCTGTACTATATAGTTATTTTGAAATGGATATTTTTTATATTCTTGGATAAAAGTTATCGGTCAACTCTTTCGTTTCTTCTCTTCTTCATTTCTCCTCTCATTGTTATTGAACCGACATCTCCTATTCCTCTTTTTCCCACCCATTCGACCCTCTTGGTCGCATCTCGTCGCGGCCTCGGATTCTGATGGGCTCATTCCACTTTAACTTGCAACAAGACGAGAACACGCAAGTATATTTAAAAATAACAGCCTATCAAAAAGAAAGCAATAATGAAAAATAGACACCACTTTTCATTTTTCGCGGACTACAACAGATGAATAAGATTTACACAGGGATTAAAAATTCAGCCTTTTTCACAGTTCTTAAGAAAAGTCTTCTCCTAAGTTAACAAGGATAAACTAAATTATTAAACTTTACAGTTCGATTATAAAACGGTAGTTCTAGTTGGGTGGATGCGAAGATTTATAAACGCCGAAACCCTTCAACCAAAAAGATATAATGAGAAATATCCACTTCATTAGCAGAAACATATTCTATCAAAATTACGTATCAGTTTTAGCGATCTATTTCATATTTTGGTATAAACGTTAGATAAGACGTCTTATCTAACGTTTTTATATTACAGTTGTTTCTGTTTACAACATGTCTTTAAGTATACAACAGATTTAATTAGAATATGTACCTAGACTAGGGGTCATATATTACGTCACACGAATTTCATGATTTTCTTTTTCTTTCGAGATACTCCGTGATTCAGAAGGACCTGAAGTAATTAGTCTTAGTTTTATCTGAAGTCGTTGGCACCCAATAACATGTATTGAGCCTGAGCGTCTTAGATCATAGCCCATTCTTCCTATTCCATCCTTAAGAAAAGCTTGTGCCCCACTAGTAGGGACATTAAAAGGTTAATGATAATGATCGTCACCGTATACCTATTTGGCTTGATGCTAAAGAACCCTCCCTTCCGCTCCTTACACTTGTCCATCGAAGTCCCCGGGTCGCCACAGCATGGTCCTGTAGCACTACAACGTGTGCACGCGCAGCCAGGTTGGCATTTCTCTGTGGGTGATAAATAAATAGTAATCAAAAAAGTCCGATACTCTGACATGTTTAAATCTTAAGAAAATTCTACTAGAAAAATCTGTACTTAGTCTAGGTTTAATCATTTCGCAGTAAAAAGTATTAAATAAAAATAAAATATTGTACTTTTACATGATCTTAATAAATAATAGTTGAAACATTTATGTCTTTTCCAAATTGATGCATGAAATGAGATGTTATGTGATACAGTGAATTTGTCAGAACGACCGCTATTCTCATTTATTGTAATAACAATTCGATAATTTAGATGATACGGGAAAGGAACTAAGAGTGTATTTATTTTGTACAAAATATCAAATATCCAATAATTAAAGACACAACTTTTAAGTAAGCTATCCCTGATCAACTATATGGGCGGTAGATAAAAGATATTTACAATAAAAAATCACCAGGTTTGTTACATATATGAATATTGGTTTCTATTTTGGCATGATTTTAAACCTGATCTTCTTTTCATCCTGTATAGAGAATTGTAAGAATACACTGTTGTCAATTTAATTTTAGGATTAGAGAATCATGCCAGAATCGATATTATTATGTAATATGAAATTAAATAAAAATATACTTGATAAAACATTTCAATTGCTCTAGTTTTAAAATAACTTAATTACAGCACTCCAAATCTTACTTGGTTCATGAGCTATCTGCTCCGGTACACCCTTTCCATCGCCTTGGACATTCATCGCACCATAAGCAATGACTTTATCATCAGGTGCATCTGTATCTTCCACATAAGAGCTTTCGTTCCTCAACGTGTTATCAGATAAATCAGATTTGGAATAAGAGGACGAATCGGTGACACAGCTAGGCAATACTGTCACAGAAGATTTGAATTTAAGCGTCGTAGATTTGGTGGTTCTTACTCTGATTGATTCCTGCGTTTCATCAGACTCAGTCTTTGGAGCCGTTTCGGCTGAGAAATCTTTACATATTTTACTATGTTTGGTGGGTTGTTTAACTGATCTGTTGTAAAGCTCAAATGCTTCTGAAAGGGAAAGTAGATCATTAATGCTTGTTATAGAAGTCGTGTCGTGATCTAGAAGGCTACCATAGCGTAAGATGCTTGTGAAATCAATGAAAGTAAGTGCAGTGTCACTGACTGTTGGAACACATCACAACAGCAGTATTATTTCCCTCCAGTATTCTGTAAGTTGGAGGCAATTTCTTCTGTTCTCACAGCAGCTAATTATCCGGGTTTGCAGTTTAAGAGCCTGTGAGTCATTGGTACTTCTCTAGTTATGACCTCATCTAGATTCGATCACTCCTTGTAAATTTCTTGTATGGACCATTTCCGCTTTTATTACGGTATGCAAAATTATAAAACTTTTTTATGTCTCCATGAGAACGAAGCGTAACTCAACAAGAAGCTTTAAAATAAAAACAACTTAAATACCTACTCGTTATATAATAATAATCATTATATCATTAACATAACCAACATTACCATCAGAGACAGTTATAAAAGTTGTTGTTATTAACACATTTTTTATGCTATTGCGCATTGTACTGAAAATGGATGAAAAAAGTAATGGTCGAATCCAGAAACAGTCATTCTACGAGACAGTCTTAAGCAGAAGTTCAATACCAGCAATGGTCTTTTTTTTTTTTTTTTTTTTTTATAGATAGGTCCGACAAATGACTCCACCCCACCTGATGTTAAGTGAAGGTGAAGTCCAGACGTGACGATAGCTGATACAGCAGTTTTACCTGCCACACCAGCCATCCTCACCCTGCCGGCCTGCATGTTGCTTCTTCACGCCTCTTTTAAAGGATCCCAGGTTGTAAGAGGGAGGGAACACGTGAGCGGGCAGAGCATTCCATTTACGGATAGTGCGACAAAGAAATGAGTCACCAAATTTCTTTGTACGCGTTGGAATTGTGGCCACAGTTAGACGATGACAACGTAGGCCAGCGCGCGTGGTCCTCTGAAGGAAAGGAGAAGGTGGGATAAGAGAGAATAACTCCTCAGAACACTCGCCGTGGTACAGACGATAGAACGCGCTTAGTGACGCCACGTCACGGCGTAATTGAAGAGGCTCAAGGTGTTTAGTCACCTCCTCATCGCCTATGATGCGGATCGCGCGTCGCTGTAACCTATCCAAAGCATCGAGCAAGTACTTGGCGGAGCCATCCCAGAGGTGCGAGCAATATTCCACGCAGGACCGCACTTGCGTTTTGTACAACAAGCACAGTTGATCGGGCGTGAAAAAACGCCGCACCTTGTTCAGGACTCCGAGTTTGCGTGAAGCTGTTTTGATCACGGTTTCGATGTAGTTCTTTGGATTCAGGTCTGAGCGAACTTCCATACCGAGCATGGAAATGTTGCTCTGCAGCGGTAGTGTTGTGCCCTGAAGAGATGGAAGAGGAAGGAATGACGATGTTTTTGCCGTGAAAGCGCAAGCCTGAGTTTTTTTGGCATTGAACTCAACCAAGTTCCTGGTACCCCATTCGGAAATGTGGTCCAAAGCCTGATTGAGTTCAATGACAAGATTCTCGCGTTTCTCCTTGGTTACCGCCAGCCCAGCCGCTGCTTGTCCGAGATACCCCGCATGCACTGTACTATCGTCTGCATAGCAATGAATATTCCCAAGAGGAATTAAGTCATTGATATGCAGCAGAAAGAGAGTGGGGGATAGGACGGAGCCCTGGGGAACGCCGGCATTCACTGACATGAACCGCGAACTGCTACCATCCGTAAGGACACGAATTCTACGCTCATGCAGGAAGTCAGCTACCCAAGAACAGAACTGGGCTGGCAGACCGTATGCCGGAAGCTTGGAGAGAAGGCTTTTGTGCCAGACCCTGTCAAACGCCTTGGCAATGTCAAGGCTGATAGCCAACGACTCGCCACGCTTGTCGATAGCCTCACCCCAGATATGAGTTAAGTACGCTAGAAGATCACCCGTCGATCGTTTCGGTCTAAAACCATATTGACGATCATTAATCAAGGAGTGATCCTCTAGGTAGCGGGTCAGATGGTTATTAAGGACCTTTTCTAAAACTTTACATAAAACTGAGGTGACTGCTATTGGCCGGTAGTTTGCCGGGTCTGAGCGATCCCCTTTTTTGGGCACCGGTTGCACATTGGCATCTCTCCAAGTCTCCGGCACACGCCCCAAAGAATACGAGCATTGGTACAAGCGCGTGAGCACGGGAGACAACTCCGCTGCACATTTTTTGAGTACTACTGCTGGGATGCCATCAGGTCCACTAGCTTTCCGGACGTCGAGTGATTGCAATTCGGCACGAACCTCGCGCTGCCTGATTTTAATATCAGGCATCGTTGTGCCACAGTGAGGTAATGATGGTGGCAGTGCATTGCAATCATCGATTCGGGAGTTAGCCGCAAAGAGTTTTGCCAGTAAATCGGCTTTCTCCTGCGGCTTATGGGCTAGTGTTCCGTCTGGGCATCTCAGAGGTGGCAGCGAGGGCTCGCAGAAGTTTTTTTGCACGGCCTTGGCCAGACGCCAGTAGCTACGGGAACCCGTAGGATGCGTCATAAGTTCCTGGCCAACACGTGCAACGCGCTGGGCATCCGCTCTAATGTAAGCCTTCTTACAGGCCTTGGAAGCAAAATTGTAGGCTGCTTTGAGTGAATCGACCCCGGGATCCTTGAGAGCGCGACCTCTGATCCAAGCACGATATGCCGCTTGCTTGCGCGAAGCAGCTTCAGCACAGTCGTGATTGAACCAGAGGTTACGCGTGCCCTTACTGATGAGATCAGAATGAGGAATATAGTATTCCATACCCATTATAATCTCCTCAGTAATGGCAACGGCACTGGCCGATAGGTCCCTGTCACTGAAGCAGCGCTGCTTCCAAGGGACGGACGCAAAGTAGTCACGCATACCGTCCCAATCTGCCGACCCATAATGCCAGATACGGCGCTTGACCACTGCTGGACGCGGAGGCTTGGCCTGTGGTGCTTTGGCAGATATCAGGCAGTGGTCTGACGAGCCCAGGGGGGCTCTTACCACAACCTGATAGCCCTGTGGATGGGTCGTGAGCAGAAGGTCCAGTAAAGAAGGCGCTTGACTTGGAATATCTGGGATCCTGGTGGGCTGATCAACCAGTTGCTTCAAGTCATGCGTGAGAGCGAATGCGTGAGCAGAGATCCCTGCATGGTCAGTTTTGGAGGAACTTAACCACATATTGTGGTGAGCATTAAAGTCCCCCAAAAACACCAATTCTGCATTGGGAAATTGTTCCTGCGCGTCATCTGCTGCCCGACTAAGGTGTTCAAAAAGTCGAGTTGTCTCAACATCGCCGGTGTGGGATCTGTAGAGACACACGTAAACTCTGGCCAGGGGGCCAGAGTCGACGTGTACCCCCAGCATGGAGAAGGAGGGATCTTCCAAGCAGCGGAGACGGCGACAACAAACATCCGCCCGAACATACAGGCATACACCGGCTTTCGCTTTGAAGGACTCTTCAAGCACGTAGCCGGGATAATTAAGGTAGCCTGTGTCAGCAGGCGGAAGTATTTGTGTCTCCGTCAGGAACAACAATGCTGGCCGTGCTGTCTCAAGATGGTGGTGGACAGCGTTGAGGTTAGAGTGGAGTCCGCGTATGTTGCAGAACTCGACCTCAAACAGCGTTGAAGGCGTGGGGGTGTGCACCGCTGAACGTCCAAACTTTGTTTTAGGAGCTGCCATTGTGGAAGTGAAAAAGAGACGTGAAACGAGTGGACGTTGTCGCGACAAGACCGGGCAAATTAGGGAGGCATGTTTCCCCGAATGATTGCCTGCAGAGGATATACGCCGACCCGCCGGACGGAAGGGCCCCCGCACCCCCCCGGAAGTGGCCGCCGGGACCCCACGCCCCGGTCACCAACCGGCACGACGGTCCACCCCGAGATTATGCGTGACATGATGGGGTAGCCTCGCGAACTGGTTAGGAACGCTCGGGCCCCTGTACTGTGCCACGGGCGGCCAGCGGGACAGCCGTTTCTACGGGTCTCCCTGGCCGGCGGGTCGATGCAGTCCTCCCGGCATCGGTTCCACGGATGCCTAGCCCTGGACCGAATCCGTCGCGACAACCTCCACTCGAGCCCTGGTTGTACGCTGGCTGACCCCGAAACGCGCGAGCACTTCACGGGTTTTTCACCATGCGCACGGTGGTAACAAACCAGGCGGGTGTTAGGCACCCTACCACCAACAGAGCGGATGGAAGCTCCGATATCCCTTTGTCGCCTCTTACGACACCCACGGGAAGAGAAGGGGCGGTGAGTTGTATTCTTTCTCCGTCACCGCACGGATAAAAAATGGTCTTATGCAGAGGCAGTCATGCCAGAAGTAGGCTCCAAACGTGAAACCAGATGCTTAGATGTTTGTGTGGGAAAATAAGGTGGTCTAATATAACGTTTTCTTTAAAACTGAATTCAGTGATAATTCTATATCTGCCGTATCAAATGGCAAATTTATTGCTTACTTCTTAAATGGGAGATTAGACAGCAGAAATATTGCAAATTCGAATGCCGCCAGGATTCTAAAGGGTAATTATATATTTTCTATGCTATTTTTTCTCGGTTAACGCATTTGGCCTGCGATCGTGAAAGTTAAGTAACTTTTGCGTTGGTCGGTCAGTGAATGATTGGCCAAAAACTTATTATCTTGAGTTCCAAAATCCTCCGTGCTTCAGAAGGCATGTTAAGTCGTTGGTCCCAGCGGTATCTGCAGTCGTTAGCGCCCACCAATACGCACTGGACTCGCCAGGCCGGTCGCCGCCCAGTCTTCCTATTCCATCTATAGGGAAGGCCTATGCCCCTGATGCTGATGCTGATGTAATTTTCTCACCTTTTATAGACAAATCCACGTTGTTGATAGTAGACTCCATCTCGCTCAGATTCTCACAGAACCTCAGTATGAGCTCCTGTTCCGCCTTGCTCATTTTGGTGCAGATGTCCCTATCCACCATTCCTGTTTGAGAGCTGGCACAACAGTGATATAGGAGTATCGAGTGCATTATGTACATCTTCTTCGGGTAGTCTTTAGCCTCTGCTAAATATCTAAAAAAAAGAAGTACTAGGTGTTAAGGGTAAATGGTGTCGAGTCATAAGTAATCTTATTTTATGAAAGTGAAATTTCAATTTCATCACAATTTTTTTTTTCATTCATCTTTAGCGTGTCGTATTTTATTTTTAATTGTTACAGGGTTCGATACCCAGTCAGTTTCACTTGCATCATAGTTTCCTTAAACCGCATCAATTCTTTCTTCTCTTTACGTATTATTTGTGGGTGAACGATTGTCAGGAACCAGCAGCGGTAGGATATCTAACTTAACGATAGGCTACAATACCTAGATAACAAAACTGAATTGTTTGTCAGTACAAAAGTCTTACAACTAGAATATTCAGACGTAAAGTTTCAATAGAATTTTGCTATATACTATAGAACCTGTAAATGAAAAATAAAGCCAGGGAACTTTAAGGATATACCTAAAACCACTAACCAAACTTGTCTGAGACATGACAATTTTTTACTACATATACATTATATAGAAAATAATTTTGATAAGACTAAAAAACTTAGGAATGTATAGACGATAATGATAATTTATATCACGGCACGCAACTCATTATTATTTAAGGAATAAAATCAAAGTTTCCATCAGCTGAAATGCAAAGCCTCAAATTATTATTTCATTTTATAAAAAAAATAATAATTCTGGTGTTGCTTTGCCCTGATTAATAAACAGATAACAACCAAAGATTATATATTATGTTTTGAAGATTTGTATTCACGGATGTAAGTTATTTGTGACAAAGTTAGATAAGTAATACAGTTTTAATACAGCTTACATACTTAATTAAATTATGATAACGATGCCCAGAGGTTAAAACCATTTCAAGCACGTGATAAAATATCTAACAAGCACGAATTCAGTTTTTTATCCATCTCTAAAATTATTTGTCAAATCATCTCAATAAGATTTATTAAAATGGAGGCTGTTATCTAAATAACTTGTTAACAATTTATTCTGTTTTTTAAGATAAGTACTGATTGGGTTCATTAGCTTTGTAAATACAAAGGGGGCTGTACAGAGGCCATACGGATTTCATTAAATTGCTAATAGATTAAATTAATAATAGTTTTTGATCAAATTTTAATCTCAAATACTTTTTTGTGGCGCAAACAGGTTTCACTATATAAATAAATGGATACCATCAAATGCAGGCTGCAAAATTTGATTGCACCCTTAATTTTTAATTTATTTATTTTGCTAACATTCGCGAATTACAAAAATAATCCAAATATATATATTTATATATGCATATAAATATATGTATATATTTGGATAGTAATTAATACACACTTTTTGAAAATTATACTAACCAGTAAAATTGGTGAGTGAATAAGGCATTTATGAATACAAAAAAAGCTCCAATCTTATTCTTTTTCAATGTTTTGCCTTTACGTATACAATTAAATATTGCATAATAATAGTTAACTGAACCTAACATTTAAAAACCTTAAATAAACAATAAAAAGTATCAAAATTACTAATACTAGAACAATGGGTGTGATATTCAAATTAAATAGGCAAATTTTTAATTTCGCATGATGATAATATTATGGTGTAAACTTGTGTCAATCGCTCGAAAGGAATTTCTAATGAAATACAGTTAATTGTTTAACCAATCGAGATAATTTCATTCAGGCCGGTTACTAAAATCAATTCCTATCAATTTCACAATGAATCTTTAATTGCCGATATTAACGAAATGAAGCCACGTGGGGTGAATACGTAAATAAATCTATATTTGGGATTAGTATTTATGACGCAATAATAATGATTACTTTTAAGGACGCTGCAATTGATTGAAAGCCTGTATTTGCAATAGATTATTTGGTTTAAAGCACAGGGAGACTGACTGACTGCGGCGATTTTCCCTTGGTATTGTTGCCTGAGAAAATACACAAACCCTCTTATAAGACCATCCGTGAGATTACCTTCTGTCCTATCTATTTAGTGGTTTTGGTGTGAAGAACATTTGAAGAATGTCATATTTGTGGAAAATTTTTAGTTATATTTATTTTATTTTTTTACACAAAAAAAAACAGATACGTGTCTCAAGCGGATGGAACTCGCGCTCGCAGTAGCCCCAACCGGTCCGAGATATCGTCTATGTGTGTTGCTCGAGCGCACTTTGTATGTAGATTGACTTCTGTTACTATCTATGTTGTACTGAAAGTTCATCATCATCAGCCTATTAATGTCCCCACTGCTGGGGCACAGGCCTTCTCTATGGATGGAATAGGGAGATTGGGCCACCACGCGAGCCCAGTGCGGATTGGCGGGTGCTGACGACTGCAGATGCAGCCGGGACCAACGGCTTAACGTCCCTTCCGAAGCATGAAGGCAGTCGAGATAGAAGATTTTCGGTCATCCATCCAATGACCGACCACTGCGAAAGTTGTTTAACTTCAACGGTCGCAGCCGAACGCGCTAACCACCCGCGCCATTAAGCTCCTCCCGACCGAAACTTCGTGCGGGATAGATGTCACGTACAATGTACTGTTAATAAACTTCGCCGATAACGTAGCACATCTCCTGGTCGTGATTAGCGAAACGAAGCGTGTCGCCTTTGACCCGTCTATCACGAAACACATGCTTCTGCTTGTCGGCGATTATGAGCGTTAGGTGGTAGGTCAATAACTTCTGTTGATGTTTTTTTTTCTCTAATAGAAGTTGACGACCTCCTTGGAAGAGTGGTTTGTACGCCGGGTTTCAAGGTGTCGCCGACTTGATGTCCCTCCCGGGTTCGAATCCCGGTGGGGGCAGATGTTTGTGTGATGAATTTGAGCATGTACTCCAGACATGTTTAATATGTATTTCTAAATAAATATACTTATATATGTATTAGTATGTGTATTCTATCCGAGACCCCAGTATCCCATAACACAAGCCTTTCAGTACTTATATTGGGGCTAGGCTTATTAGTGTATGTTGGATTTTTTTTTGTTACCATTAGGCGGAACAAGCGCGTGTTTGCCGCCCTATTACAATAAAAAAAAAACATGGGGTGTAAAGGCATCGCCACTTCTTCAAATTGCAGATAATAATTATTGGTTATGTAAGATTTATGCTACTTGAATTTTCTGTAAAAGAATAGGTTCATACTTTTGAGTCTTTTTAGTACAGTCAGTTTCATAAAAATATGAAGTAATAATGAGGTCAAATATATGTAAAGAGCTAAGTTTCAATTATATCTTTACATTTAAAGTCATCTCAATACTGTACCCTTAGTACGAGTTTAAGCTCAAGAAAACTGTCAGAGTTTTCGTAATTGTAAAACTCGTACTAAGGCAAACAACCATTCTAATATTTCTTCAGATCAAAAGTCTCCAAAAACATATACACCATTTGTTTACGCCAATAAACCCCAAATGCATGTTAGTAGGTGAAAGTGTTGTTGTCAACGGTCACTAGATGGCGCCATCATTTTGCATAGTGTGATGTCTGAATGGCGATGTTAAGATTCTTACTCGATTATATAAGCCTTAGAAAATAAGGTTTCTTTTCGAATACATTTATTCCTTTGAATTTGAACGGTGGTTTATTTTTATCATACTTGCACCTTTCAAAGATTTTTTGGGATTTAGACAAGGTCCCTCAGAGCCGGAGTGGCTATCTTGAGAGCGTTGTTAAAGTCCAATTTCGCACCGACGCGGCGGCGGATTGCTGTCTATGGTGTTTTTCCTGGAGTACAAGCCAGGCTTTTCAGAAACCAACACTGGAATTCGGAATAAGAATAACAATACCTACTGGAAGAGGAAGAACACAATTTGATGAACTGACAATAGACGGCGCCACTATACTATGGGAACAAATTGGCGGCAAATTTAAAAATTTGGATTTGAGGTGAAGTGACAGTGACAATTGTAAGTACTTTGAACCTTATTTACATAGAACAAGTAACTTAGTGCAAATTAAGAAGATCGTTAATAGAGGAAAGGAATTTGAACTTTAAACTCAAGAAAAATAATACTTAGCAGTTTTAGAGGATCTTAAGGACTTAGAATAATTTGTTGTTATTTAGCTTGTAGACTTAGAATAGTTTTCTTTAAAAGTAACTGACGGGGAATCCATGCCCGATTTTTAATCGAAGTGTATAAACTTCAAACACTTAGAAAAATTTTAGCGATTTTCTATAGATGTTTCTTTTGTCTGCTTAAGTAGTTAGAATTGTAGATATTTGCTTGTAGTTGGTGTTGTTGTAAACATTTAAGTAAGTTGTTGCTTTATATTAAGTTATCTGTTTGTTTGGGTCTTCATAGTATTTAAATCTAATCAAAATGGAATCATTAATTAAATTACAAAATGATTGTAAATCAACTATTTCTAAAGCCCAAGTTAACTTTAAAAAAGCTAGCAAGGATCGCATCACGGTCCCTTATGTAGAAACTCGTTTGGAGGCTCTAGAACAGCAATGGAAGAGCTTTTGCGATATTCATCGTCAACTAATATCCGATCATGTCAGTACTGAATTGCAGAGTTCACAATATTGTACCGATAAAATTTATGATAAAACTGAAGAGATATATTTCGATTATAAGGTTTTATTAAAAGAATGTTTACATAAACTTTTAAGTGGTAGTCGTAATGCGGAAACTGCCAAGGCAGTTGAGATTCCTAAGTCTGATAAATCTTCTCACGTTAAATTACCAAGGATCTCAATTCCTACGTTTTCTGGACTTTATATAGAATGGGCTTCTTTCAGAGACTTGTTTATCTCACTTATCCACAAGAATGATTCATTGGATGAAGTACAAAAACTTCACTATTTAAAAAGCCATTTGACAGGTGAAGCAGAAAGTCTTTTACGTCATGTACCAATCACTTCTGCCAACTATCAAACTTGCTGGAATCAATTAAAACATAGATATGATAATAAAAAGTTTTTATCTGATAATATATTAAAGCGGTTTATGGGCATTAAGCCACTACAAGTTGAGTCATCTATTGCTATTAAATCTATGTTAGACACTACCAATGAATGCTTAC